AGTCGTCGCAGCACGTGGGAGATTCTATTGAACAACCGCAACGACCGAGTGATGGTATTGACAACGCATTTTATGGATGAAGCCGACATTCTGGGTGATCGGATTGCTATCATGGCCGAAGGTGAGCTACGTTGCTGCGGTTCATCGCTGTTCCTAAAGAACCGCTTCGGCGCGGGTTACAACCTGACTCTGGTGAAAGACGACGCCAAGTGCAACGACGACGCGGTGACGGCTTTCGTGACCTCTTTCGTGCCGGACGCGCAATTACTGAGTAATGTCGGCAGCGAGATCGCATTCCAACTGCCTCTGCACAGCTCGTCGAAGTTTGCCTCCGTGTTCGCTGAGATGGACCGTCAGTTGGGTACGCTAGGTCTCCTGTCCTATGGTGTATCGGTAACTACGCTTGAGGAAGTCTTTATCAAAGTGGCAGAGTTGGGTGATGGAAACAACCAGCACACTCTAGGAAACTTTACTCAGGGCGGTGACTCCAAGACAACCGATTCGTACCAGCTGTGCGACGAGATTATCACGACGGAGTCGTTGTTCCATCGACATTTGCGTGCACTGCTTCTCAAACGATTGCGCTACGCCAAGCGCGACAAGAAGACCATCATTTACACAGCTCTCTTACCCGTCCTACTCATCGCGTTCGGCTTGGGTATCCTCAAGAGCAGTGGCCTCTCGAAGGATGACCCGATCAAGGCTTTGATGACGGATGCCTACGCTGGAAGTTCTACCCCAACTCCCTACTTCTGTCAGGCTGGAGCTGGAGTGGAAGGATGGTGCAGTACAATGATGTCGCCGTCATATCTCTCCGGTCTTGACGCACAGCAACTGACGATTTCGGAGCCCGCTTTCGACTCGATCTCGCCCACGGTATTCGACGTATCGTACACGGATCCGAACATAAACGGTAGCGGCACAACCGGTTACAGTGTGGCCATGGGCCAGCAGCTTTACAATCGAGGATACGGGAAGAACGGCATCAACCTCGTGAAAGGACAATACGGTGCCTACTTGGTGTACGGTGACAGCGCGCAGAACTTATTCGGCTACAACCTCTTCGTAAACACGTCGGCACCTCATTCATCTGCTGTTTTCAAGGCTGTGATGGACCAAGCAGCTTATCGGTTCTTCGCTAGTGACTCGGGAGCGTCGGATTCGTCCGTGAATTTGAAAGTGAGCAGCCACCCGTTGCCAGTCACGGCTGTCACGAAGGCGTTCTTCGGCTCGGCTTTAGCGTTCGTGGCCTGCATGTTCACGTGCATCGCATTCACGTTCTTGCCGGCATCGATTGTGGTGTTCTTGGTCAAGGAGAAGCAGTCGGAGCACAACTCGAAGCATCAGCAGCTCGTGTCGGGTGTCTCCCTCCCTGCTTTCTGGGCATCGAACTACATCTGGGACCTCGCCATGTACTTGTTCCCGTGTGTACTGGCGCTGGTATTGATCTACGGTTTCAACGTGTCGGCGCTGACGGGCAACGACTGTGATAGCTGTACGTCGGCGACCTTCCCGTCGGTGATTCTGCTCTTCATCCTTTTCGGGTTCGCGATTTGTCCGTTCACGTACTGCTTGTCTTTCGTCTTCAAGGAGCACGCGGCGGCGCAGACGTACACGATCGCCATCAACTTTGTCATCGGCGTGGTGCTGATGATTATCTCGTTCGTCTTGGACGTCATCGAAGGCACGGCGTCGGATATTAATTCGGTGCTTATCTTCATCTGGCGTCTATCTCCGCTATTCAACCTCGGTAATGGACTGCTGCAGATGGTCATGCACGACACGGCCAGTATTCGCTTCAGCAAGGACGAAAAGACCAGTCCGTTCAGCACGGATATCATGGGCTTCGAGCTGATCTTCCTGCTGCTCACGGCTATTGCCTACATGATCATCGCAGTGAGACTTGACTACGTCAAGACCTTTGCAAAGGTGACAGACGTCAATACAGACGAGAGTTTCAGTGGCGACCATGAAATTGATGAAGATGTCGAGAAGGAAGCTGTTCGTGTAGCAAGCGGTGGTGCCGATGGTGATGCGGTCAAGCTCGCTGGTCTACGCAAAGTCTATCCTGGTGGCAAGGTGGCAGTACGCGATCTCTCCTTTGGGTTGAAGCGTGGTGAGTGCTTCGGCTTCTTGGGTATCAACGGTGCCGGCAAGACGACGACGATGAAGATGTTAACGGGAGACGTCGCGCCCAGCCGCGGTACGGCTACACTTGGCGGCTATGACATCTTGACGCAGCAACTGGAAGTGAGACGCCAGATTGGGTACTGTCCGCAGTTTGACGCCCTCTTCGATTTACTCACGGTGCGTGAACATCTAGAACTATTTGGTGCTATCAAGGGCATTCCGCAGGCGTCGATAGACCGTGTCGTTAAGGAGAAGATCCAGCAGTTGAATCTCGGCGACTTCGAGCACAAGTTGGCTGGAAGTCTCAGTGGCGGCAACAAGCGCAAACTGTCGGTGGCTATCGCGATGATCGGTAACCCAGCCATTATTTTCCTCGATGAACCGTCCACCGGTATGGACCCCGTGTCTCGTCGATTCATGTGGGACGTCATCGCTGATATCTCAACCCGTGGCAAGGAGTCAACGATCGTTCTGACGACACACAGCATGGAAGAGTCTGAAGCTCTGTGCTCTCGTGTTGGCATCATGGTCGGTGGTCGACTTCGCTGCTTGGGCAGCGTCCAGCACCTGAAAACTCGCTTCGGCGACGGTGTCGTGTTCGACGTCAAGCTTGATGCACCCACGGTGGACGAGCTCGAGTACCTGGTACAGCACATTTTCGGACAGCAAGACCAGCGTGTGAGCCCCGAGCAACTGGACGGGAAGTGCCGCGCTTTCGGATATCCAGAATTAGCTGATCGTGTGACTGCGTCGCACCCGACCGGCTACAGCCTCGCGGCCGCTATGAAACGCGACGGCTTCATCCGGGCTGTGGCCTTCTGTTCGTGGTGTGTTGAAGAGACCCGATTCGACGCACTGAACGAGTATCTTACGACTGCGTTCGGACCGAACGGGGTGCTGGTCATGGAGCGTCAGAACGATTTCTGTCGCTTCAAGGTGCGCGGATCGAACGGCCAAGTCAAGTTGTCTAAAATGTTCGCGCTGGTTGAAGGCGTCAAGACGAAGATGCATATCCGTGAGTACAGCGTTTCGCAGACGACGCTGGAGCAGATCTTCAACTCGTTCGCCAGTCAGCAAGAAGAGGAACAAGGTGTAGCTCGAGGAATGTACCAGCGCGAATAACTACAGAGGACCAAAAACTATATAGCTCATCATTGCAAAAACTTCAAAAATGTTTGCAATATTATTGCGCTATTTTGAAATAAAAATCGCACTTATTTTATTCTAATATTATATTTTAAAAATAAAATATGTGCGAAATATCAAAAAGAAATAAGAGCAAAAAATAAAACGTGGTATTTTAAAATGCCACAAATATATTTTTGAATATTTACATTAAAAAAATGTGTTAATCGTATTTCGATGGCTAACCATTGTCCAAGAAAAAAACGACCCCCCCGCTTACTGCTGGATAGAGAATTTCTTACGTTGGACGCCAGGCGATGCAGAAATCCCGATGGGTGTTCGATATTCTAGTAATCTAAAAACTGATGTCGTCTTCGACACGGGAAGCTGTGGATAGTCACACTATTTTTTTTTGTTGTTGCTGATTTTACTGTTATCCTCGCAACGACTTTTTTTAAAAGTTGTCAAAATCATGATGCTTAAAAGCATCCGTCATATATAAAAAAGGGGGGGGCTAATAAATGACAGAACATGCAAAACACATGCATTTACTGTCCAAACACACAGCAAATCATTTGTCTTGGCTAAAGTGTACTTGTGACCTCCAAATGCGTCGCAATAAGGCTTAATTGAGTCTCACATGTAGTCGCTACGCTCCACAGTTGCGCGGCGTTTGCACCGCCAACTTCGCTTCGCTCGTGGTGGGCAAGGATCCCGCGCGGATTAGATTGTAAGTTCTTGTTTCGGAACCTACTCCGGCCTACGCGCCGTCCCCTGACAGACCTCAGCTGCGCTCCGGTTGTCATGGCGCCTCTCTAAGGCCTCATATCGCGGCGATGGTCATCCACGTCGGCCATCCTTGTGTGTGTAACAACTAGTTTTTTTTGTGTGTCAGTACATTTCTCTCCTAATAAATCGGAGCCAAATCGAGGGCTAGTGGTCGATTTACGACAAATCGATATTCTGTGAAACGACTCCTTTCGCCGGTGTTGCTGTGCGTTTGTTCTGAAAATTTGTGTGAAGCTAATGGTTCCACGAGACAAACCTACTCCAGTATTTTTTTTCATTTTGGCTACAGTAACGTACAGCGACGAACTCTGTGGCATAGATTATACGCTCGCTTTCTAAACTACAATCTGACATCGAGAATTCAAACATCGAGAGAAGCAGATTGAGAAACCAAGAAGCAAGCGGGCTACAACATGGAAGTTAACATGAAAGGTATCTATTATCCACTTGATTCCCTTAGACGTTTTGTCTTTGTTGAGCAATATTCACGCTGCTTTGGACGAGATCTACGCAAATTGGGTATTAATAATCCTCTATATGCATAATTGTAATGCAATTTCCTATATTGCTATTGGAATTGAGCCCTGGAAAGCATTTTTTTTAATAGAAAGACAAAAAAATTCTACCATTCACAGCGCAAGACCTACGCTCTAACAACAATTCAACTTGCTTCAGCGACAAGCAGTGTGGCCGGTTCGTAAAATTGTATCGTGAGCAAAATCTTAAAAAAAAAAAACATGACGTGTCAATGTTGATTATACTAATCCTTAGCCTTCAGGCTAAGAAAGAATATCTTACTCTAAAGGTGTTCGGCCGTGTAGTTGTAGTAGACGGTGTTCTCGAAATCCGCGTGACAGAACGGGAAGGCTTTCTCGCTGTCCGATGGATCGAACAGCTCCTTGCCGTTCGTGTAGGTGACGTAGCAGCCGCAAATGAAGCAAACCACGAAAACGATAATAGCCGCCACCTTCTCGTAAATTGGAACACGTTCCCACGCCTTGATGAGGTAGAAGAGGACGGGCAGCAGGATGCAGTTCGTGGTGATGCACGAGGCGCCAACGAAGTCGGCAAACTCGGTGAAGTGGTCCTTGAAGGCAATGGCCATGGCCACCAGAATGACGACAATGATGCAACGCAGAATGATGTACTTGATGACGTTCGCGCCGGTATACTCCGCAGCTTCTTCCTCCTCGTTGTCCTTGTGCACACGCTCCGAGTCGGCCACCGACACGTACGACATCCTTGAGCGACGCTGGCCCTGCTGCCGTCCCGAATTGTGGGAGAAACCAGCCTCCGAGGTCTTCGTAACAAGTTCAGCCGGGGTAGCGTTCTCCTCGAAAGCGAAGCCATTCTCAATGTCCTCCGCCTTCTTCTTGTGCATGCCTAGGAGCACACGCTCAGCGATGTAGAAGGCCGGGTTCAGGATGACAGCAAAGGCAATCGTGAGGTGAAGCTGCATGAACAGGTAGGCGAGCACCACCATGCCCCAGTCCGGCATGAAACCCAACGACGTCATGCCCGTCTCACTGTCCGGGTAGATCGTGAAAAGCAGGTTACCCGAGATCTGGCAGCCGACAGCCGAGTACGACGTACTCGCTAGCACAAGGAAGAGAACAGAGACGAAGCCGACAGTAACCAGCACAACGCGGGGCATGCGGGTTGGGTCGCTGTGCTGGCGTTGGATGTCGGGGATGACGATACCGGCACCGTAGGCGAGCGTAAGGTTACCGAAGACACCAACCACCTGGGAGAATTTCAGCTCCGGGAAAGGGACGCTGGGGTGACCACGCATGCCGTGCATGACAAGTGCCACAGCGATAATATCGGCGATAATGGTGCCCATGCAACCAGCGAAAGCAGAGCCCGAACCTTCCTTGAGGGTCGGCACGAGGCAGACCGGCAGCACCGTCAGAGCCATGAGGATGATCCAAGTGGTCTGGCTGAAAGCGTCGGTGAAGAGACCGTCAAGCAACTGACCGCCGAGGACGAGGAACACACACGGGATCAGGAGGCAGGAACCCATCTGAGAGATGATGCACAGCCAGCGGCCGGTTGTGCCCATTGCCCATTCGCCGAGGTCACCGAACGTCTTGACCGATCGCGGGGCTAGCAGCATCACCTTGGACATTGAAAGGGACGAATAGATGTTGGCGAACGCCATGAACGCCATAGCAATAACGGCGATCACAGGACCGGAGCGGGCGAAGTTACCCGGCATACCAAGCGTTCCAATGCCGTAGATACAGCAAAAGAGATTGAAGCATGCCTTCATGTCTTCAACCGTGAGGAAAGGTCCTTTGGCCATTATGAAGAAGCTTGATCCGAAGCTTGTAGGTCGAGTAAGTGAAGAGAGGTGAGACCTGCGACCGAGGCGGCGGAATTGGAAATGAGCAAGATCAACTCGATCACGGAGCACACGGCAACTTCGACGTTGAGGAACACCGGGAAAGAGTGCACAAACAAGTCTCGTCCACTTTGTCAAACCAGCTGGGTCACCCCATGCATGTAAGACTTGAGCAGCTGGAGTGCATAAATCAAGAGTCTTGCTCTGCTTTCTGCGTTGCCAAAGGCTAAAATCGTGAGCAAAGATGCACATGCCTTGAAACTATCACCTGTTTTCGGGTTTGAGGCCGGTATAGATTAATAGAGTCGGCGTGAAAGCATCGAGCATCCCCTGTTTAATCCGCTCATTTTTTAATCTCGAGCTCTGCTGGGCGATCTTACGGATCGCGTGGTTAATGGTAGCGCATCACCGGGATACAGAACCGGGAAGCGCTGACGGTGTGTGCGTATGTCGTGTGTCCGCGCAGTAGAGGTGTTCACAGTCAGTTCAAGTTGCAGATTGCTTCCACCAACGCCGTAAACTTACACTACGAGTATACAAATGAGATGTATCCATACTGATGCAGCTTGAACTGTAGCCGGCATGCAGCTGGAGAAGTGTGACTTTCACTGTATCTCGTCTAATCAAAATGTGTATGTTCTGTTTAGACTAGCCTTCTAAGATTTCAATCTTTGGGAGTCGTACAAATGCACGATACACCTACACTCTGCATTTGGTGCAGATCGAGATTAATTGCCAGGCTGAAGTTTGTAATTCACAACATCTGGTTTCAATTTTCGAGACCCCGTGTTTCGGGCTGCGCTCACGACTATCGATGAATATTAATACCATGTGAACTCCATACGTGTTATTACCATTGACCTTCTCGCCTCTCGTCTCGGGTTTATATTCACAAGCAGGCCTTCATTAATGCTGCTGAGGCTCAAAGACAGGAACAACCGAGTGAATCGACGGCTGGATGTTGCGATTGCATGAGCGCCAAAAACCCAGATGTGCAGCCACCCTTGCAAAGCTATCAAGCATTCGTATCAGGAAAGCCTCCGTATATATCTGAGAACCAACTTCAACGCTCCTTCCGGCGTGACGCCGCGAGCGTCGGTGGCATTCGGGGGCGAATGCACGACAGCATTGTTCCGAAAGACTTGTACCAGTAGTAGTACATGCAGGGTGTTGTTGCCTACATGTGTTTTTTACGTATATAGGCAGGCATATAAGTATCGGACATGCGAAGAAAACACTTTTCATGTATGTCTACTATAAAGGTCGGTTTTGGGGCAACTTTTGAAATGCAACCAACTTCTGAAGCGACTAATACCCGTAATCCCGTAATCATTGTACTAGTGTCAACAAAGAACAATAAAATAGAATAAGAATAAATGGTTTTTAAAACCCAATTTTATTTATTGTTTAAAAACATTATATGTTAGCTTAATTGACTTTAAATTAAAGTCAATCAAAGCTAAGTAATTATTTTTTTCGTTTTCTCTTGAAGTTTATTTGACTAATAATATGTGACTTTATTTCAGAAAAAACAATTAAAATAAATAAACATATTAGTTCGACGTGTAGTTCGACAACGCATGACTTCGTATACTGCGTCGAAAATATATGCTCTAGGCGACAACAATGATACAACGTGACTGGAGCTACAAATTCGTTATTATCAGCCATTTTGCAAGACTGGATTGACGATGACCTTCAGTAGGGACGCAAACATTATAGGTAGACTGCTGCAATATGTAGGGAACAGTTTAGACCAACTCCTTACCTACCTCCTTAATGGTTTGCCATTGCTGACATGCTCACCAACATGCAGGTTCTTCCTTTCAATCTTTGTACCGTTTTTTCGTAGATATGAGTCCTGAACAATAAAGTATGCTGCACAAGTTAGTATTTCGAACTTGGCTCTGGGCGTTGTCCATTGCGTTGTCCATTTAGGAAGTGGTTTCAGATTCCCATCGACACAGACCGTTGTAGATTAATTTAGTCTCTGCTTGTATTGGACTACATAACCGAGGGCATACGATCATCTGAACTCTTAAATCCTGCATGGCAGAGCGGTGTCGTGTTGAACTAAGCGAGCATGAGTATGATCAGCGGGTATGCTGTGCGGCGTGTGGAAGGTAACAGTGTTTTATCACAAGGTCGACCACGATCCATGATTGCTGCGTCAGTTAGTCGGCGATCATCCGCACAAGTCCCAGAGGCCTTATCACTGCAGGATCGAGACAAAACTTTACTGGATGACGACGCCACGGGCGCGTTTGACCCAAGTTGCGCTGCTATTAAGGCGTGGGAACATGTTCTGCTGCTTTGTCTGCTTTACGAAGGATTTATTATTCCCTATTTTCTCGCATTCCAGCCTGAAGCAGTTGGCGGAATGAACCTTGAGTTTGTGATATCCGTCGCGTGTGAATTGATGTTCTTGATCGATTGCTACGTACAAGCGAATACTGGATACTACGCAGACGGAAATCTCATCCGAGACAAGAAATTGACCCGGAGACGATATTTCCGCTCGTATCATTTTGTAATCGACCTGATAGCAATCATACCGTGGCAAGTCTGTGCGCAAAACAAGCCTTATATACTGGCAAGACTCTCGCTTCTTAAGTATGCGCGATGCTGGCGACTTAACCAGTTCGTGACAAGTTTGGACGAGCTTTACGCAAAATATTTCGTCATGCTTAAGCTGTTTAAGGTCCTGTTGTCCATGGTATACATGGCACACGTGTTGGCGTGTATACGCTACATTTTTGGCTACAATGAACACCACACGAACCACTGGCTGCCATCGGAAGAGGAAAGCCACCACCCTCTTCACACGCAGTATTTGGGCTCACTATTCTGGAGTGTCGGTATCATGACTGGGCTCTTTGAAGGAGAACTACCACGTCACACTAGCGAGTTCCTCTTTACAACTTTGGTGGCGCTGTGCGGGTTCTCCATGTTCACGACTCTCGTGGCAACGATTTTTGTGATTTCCAAGTGCGAAAGTGGCCATTCAGAAGCGGTGGAGGCTCGGATCAATCAACTCGTTCATCTTCTCTCCTTCCACAGAGTTCCAGAATGCCAACAAGCCCAAGCGATCGAGTATCTTCGGGTCTGTAAACTTAAAAGCGTGAAATTTATATAGGTAAAAATATCTAACTTCTTGTGTGCTGTAGCGCTACTACACGGACGCAGAGTCGAATGATCGAGAAGCAGCGAAAAGATTGTGTCGATCGATTGCTAACGACATTCAGGTGGAGCTTTTGAAGTCAACTTTCTCCCAGATTCCGATTTTTGAAGGTTGCTCGGACCAATTTATCGTGGCAATGGTGAGTTTGCTGGAGATGATAGCGGTACCTGCGCAAACTACTCTGTTCTCTGCAGAAGACGACGGAGATGCCATGTACATCGTTCATTCGGGAGTTCTGGCAGTCATCATCAAGTCCGTGACTGTGCGTGAGATTCGTAAAGGCGCTTGTTTTGGAGAGCTCTCGGTCTTTTCCTCAATTAAAAGAACTGCAGCTGTCATGTCAACTACGTACTCAATTCTGTACAAACTGACCAGATTCCATTGTGATAGAGTTCTCGACGGGTACCCAGAATGTGCTGCATTGATTGCGTCGCATGTCGAATCGACCTTGAACCACATACAAGGCACTAGCAACTACGTTCTTAACACGGTCATCTCGCCCAGGGTCCCTCACAATACCAAGATAAATGGACGTAGTTCATCGATTTCGGCTGGAATCGCAGCAGGGACGTCAGCTCTAACAAACACCCTAACGAGGGTACTGACCATGAATGGAGAACTGAGTGCAAGAAATTCAACTAGGAAAAGTCTAACGGATAACCTGACGCCCGTGAAGAAGCGAAGTCTTGTCGTTCCGACGCAGATTGACCCACAAGATGCACAATATGCGACTACCGGGAGCCACAACAACCCCCGACAACCACCTCCTGCTGAGACGCGGCATGGAGTATGGAGGTATATTTTACGAAACAAATGCATCGATCACCATTCCAAGGTTCGTTTATGGTGGTTGTTAGTGCTTCAGGTGAGTCTTTGCCACTCGTGGACTATGATTCCTGTTCAAATCGTCTTTCCGCTGTGGCAGCGACCATCATGGTTCACTCAAGTGGTTGATACGTTTTTCAATATCGGCCTCTACATCGACATTATTTTGAATTTCAGTCTGTCATTTACGATCGACTCGGAGAAAATCATGAACCCGATGCGGAGCGCTACGAGATACTTTGAAAGTTTCTTAATCTTCGATCTATTGTGTGCTTTTCCGTATGAATACTTCCACATGGCACACTATGGAATCATGCGACTTCCACATCTTCTACGAATATTTCACGTCAAGCAACATTTAAGCGAGATGGAGCATTTCTTCCCTACTAACAACACTCGACAGCTTATCCTGCTCGGTATTTTGTTGATTATGATGTTTCACATCGTAGCCTGTATTCATTTTGCCATCTCGTATATCGAGGGATTTAACCCAAACGGAACAGAAGCGTGGATATCTTCGACTAAACTCTGTCTTCGGAGACTAAATTCGACGCACTTGGAAAATTGTGACGGCAAAATCTTCAACGAACGGGTCGATATAGACGAACTCCGCAACATCAGCGCTATGGAGTACTCTCGTTCACTGTATTATGCTGTTGGAGTGCTTGCTTCACCTGGAAAAAGTATCGAACCTGTAAGTGACGTCCAGTTGGTCGCAGCGCTGATTCTAATGCTGAGTGGGTTCTTGATCACTGCCATTGTGGTTGACAACGTTCAGAAGCGCTTTACTGCCTCTGCGTTTGAGCAGAAGGAATTCTTTGCGACCAGTACTCGAATTCAACTGTTTTTACGCCGACAAAACGCTCCGTTAGCGATTCACCAACGCGTTAAATCGTTTCTAGACTATTGGTGGTCTTCGCATCGCGGAGCAGCGATTGGTGAACTGTTAGCTGATCTACCACGACCAATCCGACTTGACGTCCTCCGTAGCATTTGTCTACCAGTTTTACAGACACTCTCGTTACTTCAAGGAATTCGCCCAGTACGTGATAAACTTGAGGAATTTATGGTGGAAAACGCCAAATTTATTCTCTATGGTCAGGGTGAAATCGTGTATCGCCACGGAGACTACGTTACTGGAATGTTCTTCTTATTAGAAGGGGAAGTGTGTGTCATTACAGCGGGGAGACCACCACGAGAAGTGCCTCGAGGCGGTTTCTTTGGCACTGCGGCACTAACGCAACAAGAGCGTGGCGAAGGGTATACGGAGCATGTGAGTGCGAACAGTGGGTGCATTCTCCTGTTCGTATCAAGAGACCAACTTCACGCTATGGAAATAATTTTTTCTCCTTTAAAGACGGAGCTCCTCACTCTTGAACAAAGAGTACTCAATAACAAGTTGGCGAAATCTGCTGTAAATAAGGGAACACAGCGACGATTACGGCGCCAGTCCACAGTTATGAGGATCCGAAATGCTGTATTTGGGTCGTTAAAGCATCATCAGACAGCATACGACCCGGACTCCAGGTTTATCCTGGCGTGGGAGACGTGGGTTTTTGTCGTGATGACTGCGCAGTGGATACTTGTCATGTTCCAGGCTTGTTTTCCATTGGAAGGAGCGAATAAAAAGGCAGATATGATTATGGTCTTTATGGAGTGTTCCTTCGTATTGGACATTTTCATTCGATCACGTCTCGGATTTTACGAGTACGGCAACAAAATGATGAACTATGAACGTATTAAGCGTTTGTACGTTAGGTCAGGAACTTTCGCGTTGGATATTGTGGCGCTTCTACCTCTTTATCTCGTCAACTGGACGGTCCCTCCTCATGAGCGATGGGATTTACTCAATGTTAACAAATTATTGCGATTATTCAAAGTTCCAAGACAGCTGCACGCATTAGAGACACGATACCTTAAGCGTACTACGGAGCTACGTTTATTCAAGTTGCTCTACTATACGTTCATGCTTTCTCACGTTTTCGGCTGCATTTGGTTCAACTTTGCTTCCAGAGTGGCTGTACCCAATTTTACGAGTACTTTACTCCCAGCTACGAAGAAGACAGCGTTTGGAGAGAACCATTGGCTGCCACACCAACATTTGGAACACGCTCCACATATTCTACAGTATATGGCTTCACTCTACTGGTCTTTCGGACTCATGTCAGCGTCAAGTGAACCGGAGTTCCCGAAAACCACATCTCAGTGTATCTTCAGTGCGATCACCATGACGACAGGTTTTTTCCTCTTTGCTTACGTGATCGGTAATTTTACGGATATTATCGAGCTCACGACCTCGGAAACCAGAGAATTTAACGCCGAAATGGGCGCTGTCCGACAAATGCTCAATCATTTCCAGCTTCCCGAAGCTCTTCAAGAACGACTGAAGACGTTTTTCTTGTTCAAACGGTTCCATACGATCACACAGGAGCACATTCTCGTCCATTGTCTCCCTCCTTCGCTACTTACGGACATCCGTCTCGTTCATTTGAAGCGTATGATTGAAAAAGTGGAATTTCTGAGTGGCATGGAGGGATCTGTCACTCGGATGTTAGTTTCTCAATTCACTCAGGTTCTTGTATCTCGTGGAGAGTTTATCTGTAAACTTGGAGAAAAGAACAGCGATATGTATTTCGTATTCACCGGAGTATTAGACGTTCTTTTACCTTTGGAGGTGATTAATACCACCACAAATGCAAATGTGACAATCGAGAAAAAAGGGTCTGAAAAGGTGAAAAATGGCGCACCGACAAAGTTGTGGCGTCTTGGAGTTCGTCAAAATTCTAGAGCTGCAATTCAAAGAAGTGGTACTACTACTGAGCACTTGAAGAAAGTGAATGAGATCTCGGCTGGTAGTTACTTTGGAGAGAACGGTCTCTTCACCAATGGCAGACAAAATGCCTACATCCAAGCCCAGACGTCCTGTATTCTTTACAAACTTTCGCGGGAATCCTTGGAGCTCGTGTTTGATCGATATCCAGAATGGAAGGAGAAAGTCATGAGAATCGTGAATATTCATCGCGAACAAACCAGACTCTTGCAACTTTCACGAGAGGAACAACGTCGAGGAACGGATGCTACCACTGGGTTAATGCTGTCTCGAGCAGATATCATCAACGAACGAGCCGAACGTATTAAAGATGAACTTCAGCACGTCCGTTTACAGTCTGGAGAAAGAGGAAATATCAGCTTCGTCGCGGATACCAGTCGAGTCGTTCGCGGTTTGTTAAATCGGTTCGTTATAACACCAATCCATTGTCTTGTGGAGGGCACCGAAGTGCAGAGCAGCTTCCATCTAACATGGCTTCGATTCATGGTCGTTTGCATTGTGTACGTCTCGATCTTGATTCCGTATCAAGTGGCTATGGACGATCTAGACCGCGTCACTCCAATGGCTATCATAACTAGAGCCTTCGGACTGCTGTGCGAGCTCGTCTTCATTCTAGATGTCTGGTTCAGTTGGCACGTCCGAGAATCTCCAGCATCCATGGAGCTGTACGAGCAGGATTTACGAGCCACGTACAAGAAGGAGCGCATGCTGTGGGACACCATCGCTGCCATCCCATTCTACCGTTTTCTATCGGATTTCCACTGTCGCTCGTGGTTGAAACTACTTCGCTGTCTTAAGATTTTCAATGTCGTGAGTTATCTGGACGAGCTCAATCGACGCAGCGTCACGTACGAGATCACGCGTTTCTGGTACATCTGTCTGCTGTATCTGCTCATGATTTACTGGGCTGCTTGTGCCTACTTAGCCGTGGCTACAGAAGTAGGTTTTGGCACAGAATGGGATGCCTGGCTGCCTTCTCAAGAGCTTATCATCACAAACCCAGAGGATCCTTCTCCTTCTCAACTAGCTCTCCGCTTCTTACGTGGCCTCTTCTTCGCCACCACCACATTCGTCAAAAAGGCTCGAAATCTCGCACCAGATACCGCCACATTGTACGCCTTTCACATCGCCGTCTCGTTCGTCGGCTTCATTACCATGTCGATCGTGCTTGGAGAGCTCGCAAGTCTCTTCATCTCGTACATTGGGCTCGAAGTGGATTTCCGTAAAAACCACATCGCGATCGAAATTTATCTGGATCGTTTGCGTGTTAGCGATCGACTGAAGGCTCGAGCACACGCCTTCATGACTTCGTTATGGTCGTCACATGCTGGAGTCAACTACGAAGAAATACTGGGAGAAATGCCGCGATCCATCCGTACAGCTTGTGTCCTTCATGTGTCCAAAGAACCGGTAGACTGGTTCATCAAGAAGGTGGTCACGCCGATGTGTTGGGAGGGATCCGATGAACTGGAATTGGTCAGACACAGCCTAGTAGAACACTTGCACTTTGAAGGATACCCGTCGGACGAGTGCATCGTTGTCGAAGGTAGCATAGCGCGAGCGATGTACTTTGTGCTGCGGGGTCACGTTCAACTGCACAGTCGGTCTTTAACTGCCCTTAAACATCCCATTGGTCTCCATCGAGGCGATTTCTTCGGTGAACGCGGTCTTCTCGGGAGCGCAATCAGTGCCTATACTGTTCAAAGCGTACGCGCCTGTGACCTGCTCTCGTTGAGCTCTGAAGCTCTCGTTGAAGTCATGGATCAGCACAAATTCTTGCACTTGGGGCTGCGGATTTGCGAAGACGCCTATAAACTTCTCAAGAAGAAAAACCTTGTCGCTTGCTCCAAAATGGACATGGAGGAACACTGGGGAGCTGCACTGCTGAAGATTGTGGCCGAGCTGCGACTACGATACAAGAAGTGTATCGGAGTTCGAGCAGCAAGTGTGGCGGCGCGGTTGTCGTCACGAGTGCGTAGTGGTAGTGTCCTCTTGAGTGCCGGATCATTAGCAAAATCTCCAGTAGACCCGATACCGTCTCGACTCGACAGTGTCAAGGCGATTCATGTTGAAAATGACGACTCAGCACGAGATAACACCAACGAGATTAAGGCCGATGAACTGCCAAAGAATGTGGACAGGATGTTTGACGCGCTGGTCACTGACAAAGACTGCTACACGGCCTTCTCCCCGCTGCTGCAGATTCTTATGCCTAGTGATCCGCTTGACTGGAAGGCCAGCTTTCGCAATGTCAATACGAAGGCACCGGGTGCACTGGGAAGGGGGGCCTGGCTCAGCAATAGACATCTCGACGACCTAACCAAGGCAGATCAAGATAATACGGCGGACGCAGACAACGTCAGCCCTGTAAATCTTCAGCAACAGGATAGTAAACCTCAGGAGGAAACGTCTGATCAGCCAGCTCAAGCAGCTTCTATCGTCTCTCGAATTCGTGGCGTGAATGCTGCTGCGGAGAAGATAAAACCGAGTGTCGAAACCCAAGGAGCTGTCGCGTTCAGCATGCAAGACGCGAACAGGAACGCACGAAATGCTTTGGTCTTCAACGACGACAATAAAGGAGCTCCTCCTGTCCACGTGCTTCGCAAACGCTCCACAGGTACGATTCCAGTTTGTAGTCTTAAACTTCAAAGTATGATAATGACACTTGCCTTACCCTGTTTTTTGTAGGTGATTCAACAGGCTCCTCAAGTAAGCTCGCGTTCCTGGAAGATGCTGACATCGAGTCGTTGGATTGATTCACGTACTTTGCTGCACTTGCGGTTAAATATGGAGTACACGCCAGCATATAAACTAGCCAAACAGCGCGAATAGTGGCGCTGCAGCGTTGCTCTCCCATCTCAACAGCGCCATAGCGATCTGGTACTTCCAAATCGTGGCATGTTTGGCGCTTCGACTGTTGAGCAGATTGCCACCAAAAGTTACGTCGCAGCCCCGTAGAGGTGGTCGCGGTGGACCGACAATCCCGTGATCTGTCTCCTCAACTGGTGGGTCCGTGATCATGAGCCAGTAAAACATCTCCATCCACTGCACATTCGGGTCATCATCATCCTCGACGCACACTGCAGGGTTGTGAGACCGGAAGCAAATGAGGTAGCCATTTGGCAATCGGATACGAAATAACAGGAAGACTGTGCGGAAGATCGGTGCTGAGCTTCCCTCCTGTAGATCTCGTCGAATTAAGAGCGTGTTGTCATTGATTTTCTGCAAGATCTCGAGCTTCTGCACCGACGAGTAGATGCCGTGATAGAGTCCGAAGTCGCAATACATTTCCCAGCTCTTGTGCACCAATTCCTCCGTACCGATCGTGTCGATTCTCTTTGTGAAGTTAAACTGTACTCGTCCGTCTGACGTGATACGCTGGTGTTGAGTCCACCCCATGGTCTTCTCCTCCTCTCCAGTCTCGACTTTCTTCATAGTCTCAAAGAAAGATGTTGCATGTCTGTGGGAGTCGATCATAATATCTCTGGCTTCTGCAACCGTCAGCTCCTGGAAGTGGATCGTGCCGATGGACGTCCGTGTGCCGAGCTGTCTGGGGATCTGGAAATCGCCCTGAAGTCGCTGTAACTGCTCGCCCAGTGCATCGTAGATGAGGAACTGGTCTTTGAGCTCCGAGTTCTCTCTCCGGAGTCCACGCACTTCGTAGATGGAGTGCACGAACTTCTTGAACAGAACGTCTCGTAGACTGCGCTCATCGAGCTGCATCCAGTCGTGCTCTTTCCTGTAGGTTGCCAACATGCTGTTGAGTTCCTTCTCGAGCTCGTCGTTCACTTGGCGCAGGCCTTTGCGCTCATTCTGCGACCCAGAAATTATGTTGTCATATACAGTATAAGAAACGCACAACACAAGATAACACAAAATAATACTCCAGCACTCACCTTCTTCCGCATACGCGACTGGCGCACTATTTCGCAGTGTTTGAGCCGCTTGAACTCGGCCTTGGCCATGCGGCGCTTCGTGTCTGTCGGCAGATCGGGCGTTAGCTCCACGATTCGGCGCTCCACGTCGTCGAGCGTCACGCGCTGCTTAACAGGCGGCTTCTTGGGCCTCGTGACCAGCTCGAGCGTCGTCTTGGCAGGAGAAGCGGGAGAAGCGGGAGATGCGTTCATCGAGCTAGAGTGCGCATCTAGTGGTGCTGGGGGCGGCACGAGCGGCGGTAGGCGGATTGGCATTAGCAGAGCGAAGCGAATTCGCTTATGCTGTCTTTATCCTGCGTATCAATGATGTGTACAGTTTGTGTACTAATGGTCGGACCGTAATAGAGAGACACTGTAACATGCCAACTGCTAATATGTCGCCTCCAACCGACACTTCAATCTACGATAAGCAATTGGCCTGGAAGCAGCACGGCCAGCGCAAGGTGACGGCAATGCAAATGGCAACAGCAGTTTCGGATGGAGTAGTTGACTGTTGGGCGTTTTGTAGCTGGTGAGCAGGTCGCACGAACTTCGAGCGAAGCAGGAGCACGAGTGCACGTTTTCACCCAAGGTTAGAGTACATTTGCTAGCTCTAATAGGCGTTATAGAGATACTTTAACCGTTCTGGACTTTTTAGATTAATTCACGGTCGATGCGGACGGATGATGAGGATGCGCAAGTGACTCCAGTTACCGCTGTGGAGGCGGAGGCGGCGCTACTGCACCCCACCGAGTCACAGGAGACGTCGATTCACGCGTACTTAGCTCGACAGGAGAAAGCTCGGGAACAGGCTCAAGAAGCACTGCATAAGTGCGTCCAATTATTAACCTGTACTATGAACCTGGCTAATGCATTTTGTATTCAGTGCAGACTAAACGGAGTGCAGCAGGTTAAGGATTTCACTAAGGTTACAACAGTGGAGCCGTTTACACTCAGCTCGACGAACTGGGTAAGATGGTGACAGAAGTTTGTTTGGTTTAGTGCTGCTGACATTGTAGATTTTGGTAGAAACCACGACAAAGCACCATCGAGTCGCCAGAAGTAGATGAACGCTCAGCAAAGCAGTCGAACAATAAAGGAGGCAAACGCAAGACGAAGACTCAGACTCCACGAGGATCCATCAAATCTCCCCCTGCGACTGGTGCTGCTGCTACATCGACTAAGGACGAGGAAGCGTGGGAAAGGTACGTTCGATTTTAGCTGCCAGGTCGATAGGAACAAACGGTTGACATTTATGTGTTGACCTTTGCAGTGAGCGAGCGACACTGATCTCCATCATTGACGCTCAGCGACGGGAACTGGCACTCCGAGAGCAAGCGCAGCAGGAAGCTGTGCGTGTGGCTGAGCGATTTGCAACAGCTACGCAGGCCTTCGAGGAGCGGTTAGTGGCCGTCGAACAGTCTGCGGCCAAGGAGCTTGAGGAGGTCAAACGTCTCCTGGCAAGTCAAGCTGCTGCCACCGACGTCATTCTAACGTCGCTGGGCATCGCTCGACGTCCAGGCTCCAGCAGTAACTCACGTTACGACTGAGCATTGTCGCTTGTTTACTCACGACCTGTGAATCATCACAGTAGTAAACACTGGACACACTGGGATTTGTTTGCAGGCCACACCTCACCCCCGTGCTGAGCACGTACGACACGCAGGCGGGTGGGGTCAATTGATTATATAGCAAATAATACACATGGAATCCAGCACAAACCTCGCAACTTCTGATCAGCATCAGCATTGCAATCACACTTGACTTGACTGTACACTCACGTCGCCTTCTGTTACGCTGTGTTGATCTGGGCTGGGCTAAGTTAAATGAAGCAGCCTGCTGATTACCATGACGGTGGCAGGGTGAAGATGGGGCCGACCATCATGCTTTCCCACTTGAATACAATGGACAGCGTGTTCATGGCCAGTGTGGCGATCGACTCGTGGTCACCATAGTCCATACAGCCACCGTACTCGACCTGTGCTCCCTCCCCATCAACGGTAGGCTCAAAGACGAACCAGCCTGACAACCCCGTCCACTGAACGGGCTTGCCATCTCGGCTAATGGAGCTCAACACCGGGTCAGTGAGGCGTTCGGGTGCCACCGACTGCACACAAATGAGGAAACCCTTCCGAGTTCGCACGCGGAACAATAAATACACGCAACGGTAAAGCTTTGTGCCATCCTCGCTCCTGGACTCACGCATAGCCACGATCGTGTCATCGTTCACGCGCTGCAGGATGCGCAGCGTCATGAGGCCGCGGAACTTGGTCTCTGTGCACTCCGGGTCCGAGAAACACTGCCAGGTACTGGCCATTAATTGCAGCGCATTCTGTCCAGGGAATTGCTTGCGTAACGAGAACTTGAGGCTCGTTCCATCCAGCAACCGCTTGTCTTCCCAGCCCATTATGCTGGCTCCTGTACTGATGGCCTTACCATTCAACGAGAACGACAGAATGCAGCGGTACATCTCGTTCACGAGTGTCGACGACTCGCTGAAGCTCAACGGCTTGTAGCCCAGCTGCTTCCGCATTGCCACTGCCAACGGCGTCTTCCCTGTAATGGTCGGGCCCACGAGTGTTGGACGTGGCTCGTTGTAGAACGGCGTCTTGGTCTTCTGTGTAGTGTTCAGCGGCGATACGTCGCACCCGTTCCCGTGTATCGCCAGCGGCGAGTCTGCATCGAAACACATGGGCGACGATGAAGGGGACGTCACGAATAATGAGGCTGTTGAGGACGCTGTGGCTGTGTCTGAATCTGTGTCTGAGTGGTCCGAGTCGTCCGACGAGATGGAGGCTGCTCGCTGGGCAAGAGCCACCATATTGGTGGCGAATTGTTGTCTGTAGTTGAGCAGCAGTCGTAGTCGGGCTGCCTCGTTGCCCAGTTCCTCCTGCTCATTTGTCAGCAGGGCATATCGTCGCTGGATTTCGTCAGTAGCCTTGCTTTTGACGGTGGGGTTTTGGCCCTGCTTCTGTTTAGACAGCGACAGCCTCTCGAGCTGCTCCTCAAGCTCCTTTACTGTGTCCCTCAAGCTGTTGAGCGCCGCCTGTAGTGAAATGTCAAAAGTTGATCACATGTCAGTGCCAACCTGTGTCACAATTTCCTCCAATCACACCATCGTCCGACCTTGTTGCGGTGGTAGGCGCGCTTGACCACCTCGCGGTGTCTGGCGCGGCGCTCCATGGCTGAGAGTTTGCCCTTGGGCGAGTCTTTGGCTGTCGTTTTCTTGGCTTGGACCACAACGGGAGAAGCCGGCAACACTTCCTGCTTTGTCTGCGGTGGTGTCTGTGGAGCTGCTAAAGGCTCAAAAGCGTCCTGCATGTCCGCGTCTTTGAGTCCGTCGGGCTCCGTCATGAGCAGAATGTCCAGCAATGCCTGGTCGTCAGCGCTCCAGTGGGCGGACGCCATCGATCCGCCAGACGCGTGCACACTGCCGTACTCCGGCGCGGCAATCTGCATGAACATGCGGATAGGAAATTGCGTGCTTCTTGGTGAGTGTGACCTGGAAAAAGCCAGAGGCGTGATTTGAAAAATAGACATTTATCTCCTAAGCCCTGTTTATAAAGATAAAATTTTGTGTTTCGAGTGATTCTGTTTCTTTTTTTTTCTCCAAAAACGAAAGCAATACCTACGCTCCAGGAAACTACTCAACGTTACTTACTGCTCCGAGAACAGTTCCTTCAGAGTGTGGGCTTGCTCCATGTGGAGGCGCGCTTCAACGGAGAAGTCACCAAGATTCACACGGTATTGATCTTCAGTGCGTTGCTGCAGTGCGATTGCCACTGCATTGATAGCCTCATCGTCGAGACCGATACTTGATCCACTATCAGTCCGAGGGAGTGCAGTTGACAAGCCTGCAGCAAATACTCGCAACTCGTTTAGATCTGGAACACAATCCCAGGCGGTCCGGAAAGATTTACTCTGAGCATGCTCAAGCTCGAAACGCAGCGAAGGGTTATCGGCTATCCTGGCTTTTAGCCACTCAATATCCCCACTAATGTTGTCCAAAAAAGCGAGATCATAGGCTTGTTCCAGTCGGTCGCTGTAGCGCTCAATCAGATCTACTGCGGCCATCCGTTCAATGGCTACGAAATCCAACGGTAGCGTAGGAGGCGGGTCATTCATTACGGTCTTTGAGCCAATCGTGCCATTCGACACCGTAGAACTGGAGGCCTCGAGCAGGTTGGACTCTGAGATTCCTACCACAGAACCGAGGCAAGTCAAAATAAACCCCGCTACTATCCACTCAACGTTGTGCTTATCACTGGCGGGTAGTCCATCGTATAATCGACGCATTGACAGGTTTAATGAGCGCAAGTAGGGAATCAATCCCGATCTTCGCGACCAGCAAAACTGTCCGACACGAAACATGTCTCCTTCCAAGCAAACTCCATGGTCTAGTACGGTTCCGTTGCCATTGTTGCGAGAAATTCTGGACTTCTTAGCGAATTCATTCACACAAAGCTCTAAAATACGCTCAGACTCGGCACGGGACGGCAATGGAAACCTCTCCAGATTGCTGACTGCTTCTTTAAACTCCGACAGGATGTCGACAAGAACCGAAGCGAATAACCAAAAACTCGGCGACGGCAGTTGTGCGTAAGGGTGACCTTCAAAAACGCCTTGTAAGTGGTGCCGGCGTGCCAATATCCATACCAACGCATTCATGGTCGACCACGGGCACTCTTCATCGAATTGTGGGCACCGACCATGAACACGGGTCCACGGTTCATATCCGCGCAAAAATACAGCAAGCCTCGCGAGCTCTTGGGGAAAACTTCCGTTCTCTAGGATATCACTCGCCATTAATTCCTGGTACCTTCCCTCACTAAGACCTAGCAACGCACTGCGCAGGTACGCGTCAATAACCTGCGCTGGACGCCGTATACGGTACAGGGACGAGCTTGTCGCTTGCTGCATGATGTTCTGTAGTAGTAGCGAGGAATGCGTACCCATTTCGTTTGCGGCTCCATTCACACAGCCGCCAAGTAGTTTGGATCTCCACTCCGGGTCCAAAATATTTAAGACTTGCTCGATAAAGGCAAGTACCTGTTCCGGGGATCTCTCAAAATTCGGCAAGGGTAGTGCCATCACATGCAAATCAGCCACATCAGTCCCACGAGACCATGGGAGATGCACACGAAGTTGCAAGACTGGATTTCGCTCACCGCCACCGCACGATGTGTCCTTTGGGCAGCGAAGAACGTGTAAGGCTATCGAACAGATCCAGCTTCGTCGCATGACAGTGCTAAGCATCTGCAATGAAACAGCCGTGGAGATTCGTGCGTAGCTGTGCACAGTAGTTGCAGAGATTCTGAGCTTAGAAGACGTGAGAGTCTTCACCGTCTGAGTAAACGTGAGTCCAATGCCAATTAGGCGCTGGACACTAGCCAGCTCTTCCTTGTTCATCACGTTGATCACAAACTTCTCCGTTCGGTTGCTCATCGTCTGTATCTGCTGGTTTCTCACCGTATCATTCTGATCCTGCAGCACTCGTTTCATCATTTCCAAATCTTTGGTTCCAGCTCTGCCATCGTCATGGTCTTCAACGTACAATCCATCCACCAGCGTCTCCACTATCTCAGGAGTCATGATCTCTTCTAGTAGTATTGGCTGTTCCCCACCAGTAGCTTCTACGCCTCTAGTATCTTCATTGTAGTCGCTATTAGCCAAACGAGTTGTAGGCTGGGCAATAGCAACAGGCATCTGATGGTCAGTTGCAGTAGCAATGAATTCAGCCGGAGCAACTTCAGACGCTTCAACTTGTCCATGTCTGCGCCTCTTTCTCCTAACCAACCGTTCAGTCGGCTCGTCACTACCCGGCACTTCAGCCGCTTGCACTGGAACCACTTGCACTGGAGCCTCTTCCTGGTCGAAAAATGCGTTGAGTTGTCGCTGAGCACCTACGCGTTCCTCCGGGTTGTTCAGTTGCCGCAACAACTCGCTGTATTCTCCCCACTTGCGCGTGTGTTGCTTCACGAGGTGCGACCGGATGTTATCCGGTCGGAATGGTTTTGCCCACTTGGCTACGTTGGTCGAGCGCTTCCGCGACTTCCTTTGACCCACACGGGGCGTATTCTCAGGCGGCGGCTCTCGCCCGAAGGCAACGCAGAAGCGGCACGCGACCACGATCACCTCATCCGCCTCGTCGCGCTCTGAGGCCTGCAGACCCAAGGACCGCGCGTACTTGTCGCGCCAAGCTTGCTTCCGTTTCGCCATGTAACAATAAATTTGTCGGATGACCATCACTCCAGATCGGCAAAATATCCACCAATCACAGCATCTTGTGTTCCTATTTCAGCCAATTGAAGAGGCTACTTCAACTTCAGGATAAAGAGACACACACACACATGCTGGACACGAAGGTGCACATGCTTCTGCTGTTGCAGCAGGCCAAGATCAAGAATGAACGTCCTGAAGACGCATCGTTCTTGCCACTATCACTGTCGATGGCGTGTCTGTTGCGACAGCTACCCGCGGGTCTGGCGCCTCCTGCGGGTGGGCTCTCTTTCCACCAATTGGATCGACTTCCACAAGAGGTTTTGGAGCGCAAACTGGCTGCGATGCTGCTAGATGATCCACTGCGCGCCTTTACCTTCGTATGTGCACTTGTTAAGTATACAAAAGTGACGCGGGAGCTGCTGAGTATCTGCCACGACCACATGAGCAACCGAATGTCGACGGTGGAGGCCACGCAGAGCGTCATCCAAGCTGTCGTTGAAGCACTTCCTCCATTAGATGCAGACGTTGAAGAGGAAGAGGAAAAAGATGAAAACCAAGAGATAAAACCAGTAGAGAAACCGGTGCAAGACGCTGTTAAAGTTGATACGAAGACTGCGCCCTCGCAGACAAGTGAGAAGCTAACTGCTAATACCGTCGCCACCGACCCGGCTGGAATAATGCGACGAGCGGTGGGGCGGGATGTGGGCGATGGTAGTGCTGTATTGGGTATCATGAAGAAGTTCCCGACCGACGTTCGGATTCAGTCGCATGGCGTGCGAGCTTTGAAAGGATTGATTCGCAGTGTAACAGACTCAGAGGCGGAAAAGGCGTCGGCCGAGTTGCCTACAATTTTGACCCATGAGGATGCAGATGATCACGCAGCAGGTCATGACCTTGAGGATCACAAAATTGAGAAGAGCTCGCGAGATATGGTGCATATGGTAATTGACCAAATGAAGCAGTTTTCTGACTCGCTCGCGCTTCAAAGGGACGGTCTGCTGTGTCTGGCTGAATACGCTAATCAAGCTGACGACCACGTCGCAGTCATCACGTCTAGCGGCGGTATTGATTCGCTCATTGACGCGATGGTGGCGCTTCCTGACGACGTTCCTGCGAATATGGCGGGGCTTTCTGTACTTGCTCACCCGAAGATCGCAGGTGCGTCGATTATAATCTGAAAATCTTGTGCTGCATTCCTCAGAGACTAACTCTTCATTCTTTGTCCTGGTCAGACGAATCTGTGGTGCGCGTTAACCCAGAAAGTCGCCGCCTCGTGCTCTCAGCGATGGAGAGGTTCCCTCTTAACGAGCAAGTGCAAGGCTTGAGCTGTCTCGCGCTCGCAAATCTCAGCTTGCGCCAAGGTACTAATGGGCAGCGAGTGCTTCTACTTTAAGGGACTAACACTATTCAATGTACGTCAGACGCTAGTATGCTGGAGATCGTCTCAAAAGGTGGGCTGGAAATCGTGGTCGAAAGCATGAAGCGCTTTAGCTCGACGGCTCTAGTCCAAGCGGCTGGCTGTTGGTTCATTGCCATCATCAGTGGAAAAAGTGGTGAGTATCGATGCTGCAAAATTCCTTCCTTTTTGTTCCTAACGTGCAGCACTGTGCTTTTACTATTAAAGAGGAGATGAAGACCGCGTGTTTGGACACTGGCGCACTACCAGTGTGCGAGAAAGCGCGACTACGTTTTCCTGATGACCCAAAGGTGCAGCAACACGCTATACAAGCCATTCAGACGATGGAAGCGATCGAGGGTGAAGAATCAATGACAACAGAGACTTGTTCACTGCAATAAGACAAGCACGAAGGCGAAGTAAGCTGCTTATTTCATCATAAATCAGCGGTGTTATTCATACTTGTGTATTATCAATTATGTTTTCGTGTAGAGCTACACCTTTACGCCTGGAAGACTCCACGAGCGACACCCTTCTCCTCTTCTTGCTGACTGGCGAACGAGTTGAAGATTTGCTCCAGTGTTGTCTGTGAGACGCTGTACTCGCGGATGTGCATGTCGCTCTTGACGTTCTCTACCAGCGCAAACATCTTCGACAGCTTCACCCTGTTGTCCGATCCGCGGACCTTGAAGCGGCAGAAATCGTTCTGGCGCTCCATCACCAGTACTCCATCCGAGCCAAACGCGTTGACGAGGTAGTCGTTCAAAGTGTCGAAGCGGGTTTCTTCGACACACCACGAGCAGAAGGCCTCGGCGCGGATGAATCCATCTCGCTCCATCGCAGCAGCGAGGCTGTAACCCGTAGGGTGCGAAGGTGTGATCCGTTCCTCAAGCTCGACGTTACCGAACGCCCGACACTTGCTTTCAAGCTCCATCTGCATCACGTACGTGCTGCCGTCACCGAATACATGCTGAAGCAGATACTCGAGCTCCTCGGTCGTTGGGGTGTCAAGCTTCACATCAAACATCAGGCCGTCCCCGAAGCGAGACTTCAAGTGCTGGACACTTCCGTAGCAGCGAAGACGACCGCCAACCATGATACCAACACGCGAGCACAGAGCCTCGCACTCCTCCATGCTGTGTGTCGTCAGAACGATCGTTGACGCCTTGCCACGGGTAGAGATATCGGCGATAACGTCCCACATGAATCGACGAGACACGGGGTCCATGCCGGTGGACGGTTCGTCCAGGAAGATGATAGCTGGACTGCCAATCATCGCGATAGCCACCGACAGTTTGCGCTTGTTGCCACCACTGAGACTTCCAGCCAACTTGTGCTCGAAGTCGCCAAGATTCAACTGCTGAATCTTCTCCATGACGACACGATCGAGTGAAGACTGAGGAACGCCCTTGATGGCTCCGAAGAGCTCCAGATGCTCGCGCACAGTAAGCAAGTCGAATAAGGCGTCGAACTGCGGACAATAACCGATCTGTCGACGCACTTCGATCTGTTCCGTGAGGATATTAAAGCCGCCAAGTGTGGCCGTACCGCAGCTCGGAGGGACATCGCCTGTCAGCATCTTCATGGTCGTACTCTTACCGGCGCCGTTGATACCCAAGAAGCCAAAGCATTCGCCACGCTTCAAGCCGAACGAGAGATCACGAACTGCCACTTTGCCGCCGGGGTACACTTTACGCAGCCCCGAAAGCTTCACGGCATCTCCGTCGGCACCACCGCTAGCCACACGATCAGCTTCCTTCTTGACGTCCTCATCGATAGCGACGTCGCGGTCACCAATGTCGGTGTTATCGCTCTTTACCTTGGGGAAAGTTTGCGAGTAGTCGAGATACACCGCCAGGACCATGTAAATGATCGCCGTCACCAACAAATAGGCCAACTCGAAGCCCATGATGTCGCCACTGAAAGGACTGGTCTTCTCGTCCTTGGTGAAGCGAATGTACGTGATGTCGTTCAAAACCAGGTTCAGCAAACCCGTGCCCAGATTGAAGAGTGGAGAGAGACGCCAGATGAAGACAAGCACCGAATCAGCGTCAGACGTCGAGCCGATCACGCTCATAATGAACGACACGATCATCAGCACTACGCCGATAGCGAAGTTGATCATGATCGTGTACGTTTGGGCAGCCGCGTGCTCCTTGAACAGGAACGACAAGCAGTACGTGAACGGACAGATGGCGAGCCCGAAGAGAATGAACAGGAGAATTACAGCCGGGAATGTCGCGGATGTGCAGCTATTGCAGTCCTGGCCGGTCATGGAAGACACGTTGAAGCCGTAGATCAAGGCGAGCGCGCACACGCAAGGGACGACGTACATGGCCAGATCCCAGATGTAGTTGGACACCCAGAAAGCAGGCAACGACACGCCCGAGACGAGCTGCTGGTGCTTGGAGTTGTGCTCCGTTTGCTTCTCCTTGACCAAGAACACCACGATGGACGCTGGCAGGAACGTGAACGCGATGCAGATGAACATACACGCCACAAACGCGATTCCCGATGCAGAGAACGCCTTCGTGGCGGCTGTAACCGGAAGAGGGTAGTTATTCACCTTGAGATTCACAGGTGAGGCCGAATCACTCGAGCCGTTGGCTGCGAAGAAGCGATACACTGCTTGGTCCATCAACGCCTTGAAGACTGCGGACGAATGAGGCGCGCTCGTGTTTGTGAAGACATTGTAGCCGAGCATGTTTTGGTCGCCGTCGCCGTATACAAGGTAGGCACCATATTGCCCCTCGACAAGATCAGCGCCGTGGCCATACCCACGATAGTACAGCTCCTGACCCATCGCCACACTGTATCCGGTGGCGCCGCTAGCATTGATCGTCGGGTTCGTGTAGGTCACGTCAAACACGGTGGGCGAGTCCGAGTCGAATGCTGGTTGCGAGACAGAGAGAGTTTGTGCGTCAGCTCCCGAGAAGTAGGCCGAAGTCATCATCTCACTGCACCAATCTCCTGTACCGGAACCGGCTTGGCAGAAATACGGCGTTGGCGTCTCGTTCCCGGAGTATGCGTCCGTCGACAATGCCATGGACGGATTGTCCGAGGCAAGTGCGCTTCCTTTGAGAATACCCAGACCAGCACCAATCAACAAAACTGGCAGTAAAGCGCTGTAGATGATCGTCTTCTTGTCGCGCTTGGCGTACCGGAAGCGCTTGAGCAGCAGTGCGCGCAGGTGAGTGCTGAACATCGGAGTGGACGTGATGATCTCATCGCATGGCTGGTAGTCGCTGGACTCGGAGTGGTTGGTCCGCGCATGGTTGCCTAGCGTGTGCTGGTTGTTCTCATCACCCAACTCGGCCACCTTGATGAACACTTCTTCTAGCGTAGTCACCGATACACCATACGACAATAGACCCAGTGTCTGCAACTGTCGATCCATCTCAGCAAACATAGTGGCAAACTTTGACGAGCTGTGCAGAGGCAGCTGGAACGCGATCTCGCTGCCGACGTTGCTGAGCAGTTGTGCGGACGGGACGAATGAAGTGACAAACGCAGACACAGCCTTGTCATCACACTTGGCGTCGTCTTTCACTAGCGTCAAGTTGTAACCCGCACCGAAGCGGTTCTTTAGGAACAACGATGAACCGCAGCAACGTAGCTCACCTTCAGCCATGATAGCAATCCGATCACCCAAGATGTCGGCTTCATCCATAAAGTGCGTCGTCAATACCATCACTCGGTTGTTGCGGTTGTTCAATAGAATCTCCCACGTGCTGCGACGACTGTAGGGGTCCATACCGGAAGTTGGTTCATCGAGGAACACCAGCGAGCTGTCACCCAGCAGTGAAACAGCCACCGACAGCTTACGCTTCATACCACCCGACAGATCGTTGGGTCTTGAGTTGCGCTTCTCGGTCAAGCCAACCTCACGGATCTGCTTCTCGGCGACAGCGTGCAGCTCTTCGTTAGCATAACCCTTGATCTGTCCGAAGAATAGTAGATGCTCTTCGACAGACAGGTCGGGGAACAGGACATCGTGTTGGAAACAGATACCGAGTGACTGACGCAGTTCATCCATATCCTCGGTGATCGACAAGCCGCGGTATGTGGCGTTACCACTGGACGGAGCAGCCATACCCGTGAGCATGGAAATCAAAGTGGTCTTACCGGCACCGTTGTGGCCCAGCAGACAGGTGATCTGGTCCTTGTACATCGTCAAGTCCAGTCCCTTTACGGCCACCTTCTCACCACCCGGTACTTGGAAAACCTTCTTCAACCTCTGCACAGTCAGAGCCTCTCCATTGTTCTCTTGCTCTCGAAGCTCAGCGTTCACCGGTTCGATGTTTGGATTCATGTTCAACGAGACGTTCTCGAGCAGAGGTCCCTGTGTGGTGGTAGCAGTAGCGCGCTGGCGACGGCCTCTCCAGTACGACGGTGACACGGGGAAATACCACTTGAGCGATGTACCATACTCCTTCGGCATCACCTTGTCGAAGTACAGACCGATGAGCGTGTAGAGGACCGTGTCGAAAGCAAACATGTAGAGCGCCGTACTGAAGCGGAAGTTGTGGCTTAGTTCACTCACGTTCGAGAACGTGACGCCTGCACCGGTTGTTTCGGCATCGGCGAGCACTGTAACACCTTGAGCAAGACCCACCGGCGAGAAGATACAGCCGATCATCTTGGTCGATTCAGACGTTCCGTCCGAAAAACCTTGAGAGATTACATGCATGAAGAAGAAGACCAACATACCGACGAAGGATCCGATGCGCGCCTTGTTGAAGAGCGTGCTAACGAGATACGCAAGTGATAGCACAGTCATACCAAAGAGGAAGAAGAACAGGAATGTCAGGATCACGGAGCTGTTCGCGAACAGTCCAGCAAGACCGGCAAGGGCTTGGACGACGGCGCCGATGAAGAGCACGAAGGTGTACGTAATGTACCAGGTGATAGTGATCGTCTTCTCCGTCACTCCGAGAATCTTCATGAACTCACGCAGCCGAAGTTCCTTCTCCTGGATAAACACGACTAGAATTCGCGAGATCGTGAACAGATACGCCAGCACGAAGATTACGGAGAACACATTAGAGACGGTGTCGTAGAATGACGAACTCGCGAAGCTGTCGACGGGGAACGGGGCCACCGTGGAGCCCAAGTACGACTGCGGGGCTTGACGTAGAGGCGTTAGAAGCTGCTCTCTTGTGGTGTCGGACAAGCTGATCAAGATGTTGGAGACGGATGATTCTCCAGCCACGAAGCCAGTGTTAAAGACTTCCTGGATCAACGCGTCGTCGTTCAGTGTATCTAGCAGAGTGTCGTCCAGACCGGTCGAAGCGAGTGCCGTCGTCTGGGATCGCTGGCATTCTCCAGTAGTCGATTGATTGGCTGAGTTCCACTCAGGCATGCACGACACAAAGCGGGTGACAAGCGTCTGCAGTGTCATAAATCCTGTCACTGTGTAGCGCGAGTAGTAGTCGGTGTCGATTTTCGTCTGGAACGGGTCCGTGTCTAATACGGAACCACTCGTTCCCGGCACACGGCCGACAGAGTCACCAAGCGTTGAGTTTAACCGCAGCGAGTACTCGATAGACGCGAACGATCCAATGTCGTCGCCAAGCGGAACCGAGTCGAACACAATGCCGGCGTAGATACGTGGATTCTCGATGCCTTTGCCGTAGTCGTCACTCTTAACGTAGTCCGTCAGTGCGTCGTTCGTGTCAAAAAACATGACACTCTCGCTGAACGACGGAACGGTCAACGTTGAGTTTATCAAGTCCAAGCGCGGATACCATAAGTCCATGACTGCTGCGAAGTAGTTACGCGTGAACGCGTTGTCCGGTGCAATGCCGATCTTGTACGGCGACACCTTGTCGGCACACTCGGTCGGCACACGGTAGGGCGACGACATGTTTGTCTCAACCAGGCCATTGGCAATGACACCACTTGAACACGTCGCTTGGTCTGCTGTCGATAGCTCCTCGAGACGGATTGCGTCGTCCACGGACTGCACGCCGAGCTTGAGGATAAGTCCGGTCATGGACGACTCGTGCAACGCGAACTTTGGCAGATCGGCACTCACCCACTCGATGGTCTGCCCGGTCGGTTGGAACAGGTTGTAACTGGTACCGATGGCTGCATCGCCCGTGGACGCGGTCGTGTCACTCCATCCGGACGGCACATCCACAGTCGTTGTCGTACTCTTGAGTACGCCCAGCAGGACGATGAACAGCACGGGTACCAGGATCTCGCACGCAGTGACCACGGGATGACGTCGCTTGATCAACCAGTTTTTCCACAGCAGCGCCCGGATGAACGTCCAAGCCGTGCGTCGCTCTGCAAGTCTTGTCATGTTGGTGTCGGGCTTGACCTTGTCCGGCACCATGTCGCGGTGCGATTTGAAAGCGCTAACGGTGGGAGACGTCGAAATGGTTGACGCCTGGGTATTTAATAGATAATTGCTGTGCGGTGAACCAAGTGTGTTCGAGACGTTGGATTGAGGAATGACAAGTCGAATTGGAGTCGGAGCAGTGGCAATCAGTTAGCACGAAACGATTATCGACAGTGCTTTGTATGGAGGAGTCAGAGCCAGGACATTCTACAATGCATCATCAAAAATGACACATGAAGTGGTAATCGAGAAAATCCACATGGGCAATCATGGAGACACAGTTGTTTGGTACAGTATTGCACATGTGTTGGCGGTATTACTGTACGCGGCATGGTCACTGACTGTCGGTCTGGCACTGCAGTTTCGGATCGAAGTATCCGTCAATGAATATCGATGTTGCTGATAGTTGTGTACAGGGGCAGTAGCCTAACGCAATTACGTTAAGTTGGTGGTGCCCTCTTCATGGGCATCGTGGAACGCGATCATGATTCATGACTTGTCCTGGGCAATCAACGATGCAACAACGATTATGAGTCGACATTTTACGGGACACTTGGCGTTGGTAATAGCGTTTCGTGAATCAGCATTTTTTGGTACATGCATAATGTAAGTGTAGCTTCCATTCTTGGTTCAGCCTCACTAATCGAACGAAACCGAAAGTGCATGCATCTGGCGGATCATCACTATTTGTCAACCGCGATGCGGTGACGCTTTCCAGATCGAAACATGGTTAGCTGTTTTCTCGAAAACAACAAGTAAGCATGAAGTAACATGCATTTCAGAGCATTATTTTAGTGAACAGTCGAAAGTTACGACTGGTAGTCGCTAACAATTACAATTTCCATTCCACGTAGAGTTATCATTAATAATTGAATTAGATTTTGCTAACTAGAAAAGTGCCAAGCATCAATAATTCATAGCATTCAGCAATACCAGCATAATAAAAAGCAATCAAGGAGTATGATACACGAAATGGTTGTAGCTGTAGTGATAAATAACGCTCTTGATAACCGTGGCTGAATGGCATCCAGGTCTGCTTGCGAAGCGATCACATTGCTGGTGAGCACGACGCAAGCTTTCTTGAGCTCAATGTGGAAATAATATACATTTCTTATTATTTCGTTAGGTTTTGAAATAGGCTATGACTCATAGCCTATGAGGCTCTTTAAAAAATGCATTGCTCCGAAATTCTATTAACATTAATTGTTGCTAAATTATTCTTGTTTAAATTTTGTTTTTACAACAATATGTTTTATTTTAAGAAAAAGAAAACCTCGATATTGTGACACAGACTCTTGACTCAAATGATGACCGACATGAACCAGGCGATGCAGGCCTTCCTGGACGGGTTCGCCTCAGAGGACGACCTGTTCGCTGACACTTCACCGCCAGAAGTAGAGACCATTACCCCACCCAGCGCTTCGAAGAGCACACGCCGCGTTACGCCCAAGCAGCAGATTGACCGGTTGAAGGATGAGATTCGCCAACTGTCCGAGCAGCTCCAGACGCTCGGAGCCGACCACGCTCAATGCAACCTCCAAGCTCTTAGCCGGCGTTCCGTTCTGTGGCGCAGTATCGCGGCTCGGCAGCTGGAGCTACGTCGAAAATCCGAGAGCGAGAACCACAGCCTGCGAGAGATGGTGAAGCTTCAGAGCGAAGAAGCCAAAAGTCTGCGCAGACTTTTGAAGAGACGGACGAGGATTCAGGTTAGACGTGCAATTGCCAGGGTGGTAAAGCTGTGTGCTGACTACTTTTTGTTATTCTGGGCTCTTTTTGTTGTCGGCAGCAACTTCAGGAGATGCTGGAGGGAGAACAGCAGAAGCAGCAAGAGGCGACGCGACCGCTCGCAGTTGCAGTGCACGAGGAGCAGGCTTTCGCGGGAATATTGCGCGATGTCGATGGTCTCTACGAAAAGATGGATACGATGTTCACTGAGAAGGGAATGCACAGTATTCCATGGCAGGGTCGGAAGCGGTATACAGACAACACAGTGCTCAACGGGGTGTGCTTCGAGTTAACTCAGCGCGAAATCATGCCGTTTGGTGTGGAGAAAGTGAAAGACGCGATATGGAGCTCTCTCGGACAATTAGAGCTGGAAGGTCTGCAGAGTGTTAGGGGGTTTAAGACGAACGTTCAGTTTCGCAAACACGATTCTGATCGAGATACGACAACGGCCATGGTCAGCTTCTTTGCAGACCTCTCGAGTGGCCGCAGTGCCAGCGTCAAGATACGAAAAGTTGTCCGTCGGTATGGTGAAGAACATCGGACTATCTTCATTTACCGGACGTCCATGGAGCCGAAGCTTTACGACTCGGGTGAGTCTGTCGGCGTGCATGCGACCTCAGCGTTGCTGATAGAACTTCGACATGATGATTCGGACGAGGAGTCCACACTGCTCCAGAGCCATTTCAGTGTAACGCGACATGATGAAGGACTCGCGGTGGGCCATCGAATGCGGCTCCCTGTCAATTTGGATATCGCGATTGCTGTTTGGGAGGAATCAATTGCGCGTATTCACGACCAAGTGGAAAATTGTTTGATTGAGAGCTCTTGACTATCGACTTGAAGGGGACGGATCAATCCATAATTACAATGACTTGGGTTTTGTAAGTTTCGAGAAAAGATCTTCATTCTGCAATTTGCGCGATGCCGCTCAAGTGTGTCGATGTCGCGCTCCCTTTGAGCATCAGGAGCCTCGAGCACGTCTACAAAGCCGTGAACGCTTACCTGATACCGCCCACATTGGACGGCGCTGTGCGTCATGGCTGTTTGGGCGTCCTGGAGCGATTTAAGACCAAGCCCTTTTCCTCCAAGACTCTGTACGCCGCGATAGATAATAAACACTTTAGTACCGTCAAATGGGTCCTAACTGATAGGAAATCTGACTTCAAGACCGTCATACTCGACGATGCGCTAAGGCAAGTGATCAAGCGCGGAGAGAGCGAGATAGTAGAATTAATGGTGGACCACTGCAGCGACAACGCTGTCGAGAACGCGCTGTCGTACGCGGCGTACGAGGGAAAATGGCAGATTGTGAGGGTTCTATACATGGAGTGCATGCCTGGTTGTGATGCTCTGGGCGATACTCTGAATCAGGCGGCTATTATGGGGGAGCGAGACGTGGTGGAGCTCCTCTGGAGAGGGTGCGACGAGAAAGATGTGGCCCGCTCGTTGGAGAGCGCAGCTATGGAAGGCAAGTGGGATGTAGTCGAGGTGTTGTATCAGCATTGTGACACCGAGACGAGGAAATTAGGTGTTGTACTTCTGTGCGCGATCGAAAAGGGCAAATGGGATATGGTTGAGGTGCTTTATCCTCGATGCAGGGAGAAGGACCTGGTGGAAGCACTGAAAGTGGTCGTGATACAACATCGATGGGACGTAGCAAAGCTCTTGTGTCGGAAGCTGCAGAAGAAAGAGTATGAAGACGCGCTGCAATTGGTGGACAGAGATGAAGGACGCTTGCTACTTGATCGTCTTTATAGAAGATGCAAGTGCTTCCAAGCCGAGAAAGCAGTCATGGAAGCGACGAAGCGGTTTAATTGGATGGCGATTAAGCTGCTGGCTGACGCGTGCTACAAAAAGTCTGCTACTGTCGACAAGGCATTCAAATTGGCCATTGAGATGGAACAATGGGATGTGGTAAAGCGTTTGTATCCGGAATATACTGATGAAGCAGTGTCAGAGGCGACGAAGAAGGCTGAAGCTTCCGGCAAGCCCGAGACAGCCCGCATTCTGCAGAATAACAGCAGTATGAATGATGCGACGACCTCAATTAGCCAGCGTTCCCTTAGCGGGGAGAAGGATGTGGAAATACCTGAAGCAAAACCCGAGCTCCAAATGATTCGATGCGTTGTTCCGGGATTTGATCCGTTTGAGATTGATATAAGCTTGGTCGATAGAGTGGACGACTTGAAAAAGTTGCTTCACACAGAGAGACCAGATTATTTTGGAGACGTTCCCGCTGACTCGATTCGATTTTATCTCGCTAAACGAGGTGATGAATGGTTGTCTGAAGACTCAGAAGATATCGATCTGTTGGCAATTGGAGATGGCTCGCGAGTGCGAGACTTGCTGGTGTGGCAGGTGATGCCAAGTAGGCACGTGCAAGCTGTCTTTAAAGACGTCCCACGTGGGAATACGATACATGTGATTGCACTGAAGCCCATGCTTCGTTGTATCATTCCTGGAAGTCGTCCTTTTGGAATAAATATCGACACGATCATGCAGATTGGATACTTAAAAAAGGTGATTAAAGAGGAGATGGCTGGTGACTTTGATCAGGTGGATGCCTCTGAAATTCAACTTTACCTTGCTAAAGAGAACGGCAAGTGGCTGCCTCCTTTGTCGGGAGGAGCGAAGGCCTTGATGGTGGGAGAAGTATGTCCTTCATTGGGCAATATTTTGGCAAGACAGCTCATGTCGATGACTGAGGTGGGAAACCCTTTCGCGGACGTTTTCGCTATCCACATTATTGTTTTCAGTCCGCACATGAATCTCAGTGCGTACCGAGACGTTCCAAGCAGCAGACGATTTCGCTGGGATCAACTCAACAATATACTGCATGATGCACTGTGAGCACAGTGTGACTGCCGCTCCAGTCTATTGATGAAATCACTGAAAAGAAGCTAGTTTGATGAAATTGTCCTCCATGATTCAATGAACCAACATATCGTGCACTTATGCGTGTCCAAGCAAACATTTTTTTATTCAGCTTCTAAGCGTTAAAAACGTTTACACCTGTTGATAGACACCCCGAGCAACTCCCTGCTCCTCCTCCTGTTGACTTGCGAACGAGTTGAAGATCTGCTCCAGCGTCGTCTGCGAAACGCTGTACTCGCGGATGTGCATCTTGGCCTTGACGTCTTCCACCAGCGCGAACATCTTCGACAGCTTCACCTCGTTGTTGGAACTGCGCACCTTGAAGCGAGCGAAGTCGTTCTGACGCTCCATCACCACCACTTGACTGGCACCAAAAGCCCGCACGAGATAGTCGTTCAGATCGTCAAAGCGGGTCTCCTCCACACACCACGAACAGAAAGCTTCGGCACGGATGAAGCCGTCGCGCTCCATGGCAGCAGCAAGACTGTAGCCGGTCGGGTGCGACGCCGTCACACGTTCAGCAAGTTGTGCATTGCCGAATGCACGGCACTTGTCCTCCAGCTCGACGGGGGTCACGAACTCGCTGCCGTTGCCAAAGATGTTGTGCACCAAATACTCCAGCTCATCCGCATTCGGCATATCCAGCTTGACGTCGAATACAAGGCCGTCGCCGAAGCGAGACTTGAGGTGCTGCACACTACCCAAACAACGGAGACGACCGCCGACCATGATACCAACACGCGAGCACAGAGCCTCGCACTCCTCCATGCTGTGTGTCGTCAGAACGATCGTTGACTCCTTGCCACGGGTAGAGATATCGGCGATAACGTCCCACATGAAGCGACGAGACACGGGGTCCATACCAGTGGACGGTTCGTCCAGGAAGATGATGGCCGGGTTACCGATCATCGCGATCGCCACCGACAGCTTGCGCTTGTTGCCGCCACTGAGACTTCCAGCCAACTTGTGCTCGAAGTCGCCGAGATTCAACTGCTGGATCTTCTCCATGACGACACGGTCCAGCGAGGCCTGCGGAATGCCCTTGATAGCGCCGAACAACTCGAGGTGTTCACGGACACTGAGTAGATCGAACAAGGCGTCGAACTGAGGACAGTATCCGATCTGGCGGCGGACCTCGATCTGCTGTGACAAGATGTCAAAGCCGCCCAGCGTAGCCGTACCGTGTGACGGCTGGACGTCGCCCGTGAGCATCTTCATGGTGGTGGTCTTACCAGCACCGTTGATACCGAGGAATCCGAAACATTCACCGCGCTTCAGACCAAACGAGAGATTGCGGACAGCCACCTTTCCACCAGGATACACCTTCCGAAGTCCGACGAGCTTGACGGCATCTCCGTCCGCGTCGCCAGCGGCAACGCGGTCTGCTTCCTTTTGGACGTCTTCATCAATTGCATGGTTTTCATCGTAGTTTTCGTGGTCATGGGCGTCGTCCTTGGTTTTCGCAAAGGTCTTAGCGTAGTCGAGGTACAAGGTAAAGCTCATGTAGCCGGCAGCAGTGAACACAAGGTAAAGCAGCTCCCAGCCCATAACGTCCCCACTGAACGGATTCGTTTTGCCATCTTCGCTGTACTGGATGCTGTCGACGTCAGCCGTGACCATGTTTAAAAGCGCGCTTCCGAGGTTGAACAGTGGAGAGAAACGCCACAAGAACTTGAGCACCGAATTGACGTCGGAAGTCGAGTCAAACATGTCTAAGATGAAGGACGTTAACATCAACACCACGCCAATCATGAAGTTGAGCACGATCGTGTACGTCTGTGCAGACGCGTGCTCCTTGAACAAGAACGATAGGCAGTACGTGAACGGACAGATAGCGAGTCCGAAGAGCACGAACAGTAGAATCACCGCAGGGAATGTGGACGACGAGCAGTTATCACAGTCTTGACCGGTCAATGCCGAGATCTTGAAGACGTAGATCAAGGCAAGTGCGCACACACCCGGAACGGCATACATGATGAAGTCCCAGATGTAGTTGGACAGCCAGAACGCCGGCAGTGATACACCGGAAACCAATTGCTGGTGCTTCGAATTGTGCTCAGCCTGTTTCTCCTTGACCAGGAACACAACAATGGACGCAGGCAGGAACGTGAACGCGATACAGATGAAGAGAGACGCGGTGAATGAGGTGTTGGAGTTCAGCACAGCCTTTGCAGCTGCCGTGTACGGCAACGGGTAGTTGTTCACCCTCAGATTCACATTCGACGCCGAGCCGGTTGAGCTGTTCGCTGCGAAGAAGCGATAAACCGCCTGGTCCATCAATGCCTTGAAAACCACTGACGAGTGCGAAGCCGTCGTGTTCGTGAAGACGTTGTAGCTGAACAAGTTCTGGTTGCTGTCACCGTACACCAAGTATCCGCCGTACTGGCCCTCCACGAGATCAGCACCCTTGCCGTAACCATGTTCGTAAATCTGTTGACCCAGTGCGAGGCTGTAGCCGGTTGCCCCACTCGCGTTGATCGACGGATCCGTGTAGGCGACGTCAAACACGGTAGGAGAGTTGGAGTCGAACGCAGGCTCAGGGATCGTGAGCATTCGAGCATCGGCACCAGAGAAGTAAGACGAAGCCATCACGTCGCTGCACCACTCGCCAATCCCAGTGCCTGCCTGACAGAAGAACGGCGTCGGGGTCGCACTACCTGAGTACGGATCTGTCGTCAGCGCTTTCAGAGAATCGTCGGAAACGGATGAGCTGGCCTTGAGAATGCCCAGACCCACGGCAATCAGTAGAACCGGCAGTGCAGCGACGTAGATAATTGCCTTCTTGTCGCGCTTGGCATAGCGGAAACGCTTGAGCAGCAGTGCGCGCAGGTGTCTCTGGAAAATGGACTCGGTCGTGACGATCTCGTCGCACGACTGGTAATGCCCATCCGAACCCGCGGAATCCATCCGTGCGAAGTTGTTGCCAAGTGTGTGCTGGTTGTTCTCATCAGCCAGTTCCGCTACCTTGATGAACACCTCTTCCAGCGTAGTCACCGATACACCATAGGACAACAGACCCAGTGTCTGCAACTGTCGATCCATCTCAGCAAACATGGTGGCAAACTTTGACGAGCTTTGCAGAGGCAGCTGAAACGCGATCTCGCTGCCGACGTTGCTCAGGAGTTGCGCGTCTGGTACGAAAGAGTTCACGAAAGCCGTCACAGCGTCATCGTTGCACTTGGTATCATCCTTCACCAGAGTCAAGTTGTAACCCGCACCGAAGCGGTTCTTCAGGAACAGCGACGACCCACAGCAGCGCATCTCACCTTCAGCCATGATAGCAATCCGATCACCCAAGATGTCGGCTTCGTCCATGAAATGTGTCGTCAATACCATCACTCGGTCGTTGCGGTTGTTCAACAGAATCTCCCACGTGCTGCGACGACTGTAGGGGTCCATACCGGAAGTTGGTTCGTCAAGGAACACCAGCGAGCTGTCACCCAGCAGTGAAACAGCCACCGACAGCTTACGCTTCATACCACCCGACAGATCGTTGGGTCTCGAGTTGCGCTTCTCGGTCAAACCAACCTCGCGGATTTGTCTATCAACCACAGCCTGCAGCTCTTCATTCGCGTATCCCTTGATCTGTCCGAAGAACTGGAGGTGCTCCTGGACCGTCAGCTCCGGGAACAGAACGTCGTGCTGGAAACAGATACCAAGCGACCGGCGCATTTCGTCCATGTCCTCGTTGATCGACAAGCCACGGTAGGTAGCATTACCACTGGAAGGGGCAGCCATACCCGTGAGCATGGAAATCAAAGTGGTCTTACCGGCACCGTTGTGGCCCAGCAGACACGTGATCTGATCCTTGTACATGGTGACATCAAGTCCCTTGACGGCTATCTTCTCGCCACCGGGAACCTGGAAGACCTTGCGTAGATGCTGCACTTTGAGTGCTTCACCGCGGCTTTCTTGTTCGCGAAGATCTGCGCTCACCGGTTCAAAAGACGGATTCAGGTCCAGGGCGACATCACCTTCGGCGATATTAGCTGGCCCCTCGGTCGTCACCTGCTTTTGCTTGCGGCTTCGCCAGTAGGATGGCGACACGGGGAAGTACCATTTCAGCGTCGTGCCGTACTGCTTCGGCATGACCTTCTCCAAGTAGAGACCGAGAATCGTATACAGCACTGTGTCGAAGATAAACATCGTCAGAGCTGTGCTGAGTCGATAGTTGTCGCTAAGAGTGCTCATGGTGGAGAACTGCACGCCTTCTCCCGTCTCTTCGGCGCTTGCTAACACCTTGACACCGAGAGCGAGAGCCACAGGGGAGAGAACGGAACCCAAGCGCTTGGCACTCTCACCGGTGCCTGTCGAAAATCCCTGAGAAACTGCGTACATGGCGAAGAACGCCACCATTCCGACGAACGCACCAACACGAGCTTTGCTGAACAGAGTACTGATGAGGAAGGCCAACGCCAGCACACTCAGTCCGAACAAGAAGAAAAACAGGAAGGTGACGATCAATGAACTGTTAGGGAACAGTCCCGCCAAACCAGCGAGGGCTTGGACAACAGCACCGACGAAGAGGATCGCTGCGTACGTCATGTACCAGGTCAAGATGATCGTCTTCTCAGTCACACCGAGGATCTTCATGAACTCACGCAGACGCAGTTCCTTCTCTTGGATGAGCACCACTAGTATACGCGAGATCGTGAACAGATACGCCATGATAAAGACGATTGAGAAGACACTGGCCACGTTCGCGTAGAATGGGGAGCTCGTGTAGCTGTCGACGGGGAACGGCGCGACAGTAGATCCCAGCATGGACTGAGGAGCCTGGCGCAGAGGCGTAAGCAGTGATTCCTTCGTGCTGTCGGTCAAACTCGCTAACACGTCCGACATATTCGTGCTCAGACCGCCGAGTGCTTCCTGGATCAAACCATCGTTGCTCAAGCTGTCGAGTAGCGTGTTGTCGAGTTCCGTAGACGCAACTGCTGTGGTCTGTGAGCTCTGGCAGATTCCCGTACTTGACTGGTTGGCAGAGTTCCATTCGGGCATACACGTCACGAAGCGGGTGACGAGCGTCTGCAGTGTCATGAAACCAGTCACAGTGTACGCAGAGTAGTAATCCGTGATGATATCCTTCTGGAACGATTCGACATCTACAAGA